TCATCTCGCCGGCAGAAGTGTATGTGTACTTGCAATGCCGGCTCCCCAAAAGCTCAATGAAACAAGCCGCCGCTGCGCAATCCTCCCAGGCATGGACCGCCGAAAGCCAGTTCGGATTCCACTGGCTTCCATTTGGAGTGCTCGGGCCTTGCACCACTCATTGTCATGCTGTAAGGGTTGGGAAAAAACAGAGCCATGCTGGCAGACGAGAAGTGCCCAATCGCCGAGATTGGTTTTGCTAAGCATGACAGTTGCTCATGAATTCTGCCTGATTCAAGTTGCACTGAAGGTTCAGCAGCAGGAGCCCACGAGAAAGGTGAGGAAACGTCGGAAGGCCACCTTGTTGTTTGGACTTGAAAGTGCATCTGAGCAGTATAGGCAACTCTGAGGACTCTGAACGGCTTTGAAAGTGACAGCTTTTGCAGGTGCTAGAGTGGTTGGTTCTCCGTCCTTCGCGCGACAGGGCCGCTGAGGCTTTGAGCAGTGCAAGGATGATGTGGACGTATGTGAATATATGACGCCTCTCAGAGGTCATCGCTCGTCAGGGCTCATCCGCAGGCGGGCAAGAAGGGGTTTGTGGAAGGCATGTCCTCCCGAGTTTTTGGTGTTGCCCGCCTGTGTAGCGGCCCCATGGGTCGTTGCCGAAGGCTTGTACAATCCCGTGTACGGCTATCTGTGGGACGAGGCATGTTTCTATCTCGCAGCATCATGAAAACATGTTTCGCATATTGTTGCTTGGCAGAAGTGAGAATTAGAAATCGTTCCAAAGAATCGCTGGGTGCCGAGAACAATAGACTGACTTTGCTTTCAGCCGCACAGGCGATCCCGCTGACGCCTGGTGTTAAGGTGCCCGCAGCATGGGTGAATTAGTCCCGTTTGCACATATTTGAGCGATGCGCCAACTCAAGGCTTCTGCGATATGGACCAGCTACCAGGATCCTAAGTTTTCTGCACATGCCCAACGAGAGGTCTCCTTTTTTTCGCTTCCTGGGCGGGGTGATGCGACAACGGCCTCTGCATGCCCCTAAGAGCAGGAGCTGCCTTTCGCAGCATATGCTGCGTCTCTGACTTCTGATTTACTCAGAGGGCCCAGAGTTTCGAGAGCAGCATGGAAAGGTTTATTTCGTGTTGCTGTAGACGCTGTACGTAGGCGTATGCCGGGAATACAATCTATATACCCCTGCGGTGGCTGGGGCTGAGTGCGGGCTCGCACATAAGCGGCCCAGGGTCAGCGTCAGATGATATACACAGATCACGAAGCTGCCATGCCTTTGCTAAGCAGGCTTGGCACGCCCACAAGGAGTACATTATATCCTAAGATCTAAGCACAGGATGCTGATTGTGTTGATTGCTATAAGAATGAGGTCGCATCCGTCGCGTCACCAGCTTTCCGGCGCTTGTCAACAGGGACCGCTGAGCACGAACGTCATCGAACCTCCGCAAGCATTGTGTGCAGAGTGCAGAGTAGCCCGTCAATCGCAGGATCGTGCAGAGAACAGTGGCCCACCTCCCAGTCTCAGATGTTGGCAAACGCTGGCGTGTTGCGTCGCTTGAACCAGAGAGCTAGTGCGCAGCTTGCAAAGCTGACTGCAAGAGCTAATTTGTTGGATGGTTCATGTGCCGAGGCAAAGGTTTCACACTATGAGGTCTTGTTTGAGGAGGCCCACAAGGGTTGACGTGCTTGTCTTGAAGCTACAGCCTTCATCAGCCTCAGGATCTTCCAACATAATTCTGTGAGAGCCGCACGGCTGCGCTAGGTCGTCCCTGAAGACCGATGGATATCTACCTTCAACGTTGGGCACAGCTCTGAGCTCTAGACTAGCGCCCCCGGCGAGTAGGCGTAGGGCAAGTTTGCCGTGCGCTTCTTCACTTGAGGATGCACTTGCAATCGGACGGCTCCATTGAAAGGCCACGCGAGCTAAGTTTCGTCTTCTGCTCCTGAATTCAGGGTCTTTCCGCGCAACTCCTTCCTTCCTGCAGTTGCAGGTTTGTTGCTGGCAAAGCCAAATGAAGATTTCGCCCCAACATGGCCTAACGCCGGAAGTTGTCCTGCATGTCGCTAATGGCTGCCCGATCCAGGCCAATCAGTATCAGTAGGGACTGCATGCAACCGTACGGCCTGGAAACAGATTTTACCCCAAATAACGTATGCATAAAACTCGTGCAGAGTTTGCCGCGCAGATCATGTACCGCCATCCCCTGTGAGTCCATGGCGGCCGCAGCATGGCGGGGCAGCCTCGCCTTGGCTTCGCGGAGTACCAACTCGCCATGCCCTCCACATGCTAGCCTGCTGTCTGACTTGCGGTCCTTCCAAGGATGGGAGGCAAAGAATCGGCGCACTGCTGTTTGGCGTGCTTCGGCCGTGCTAGCGTTTGCAAGCTGCGCTCGATCAAGACCCGGCGCATCACCCTGGCGAAGCAGCTGCCGAGTTAGCTTGAGTTTCCGCGCAGCCACCAGCGAGGGGCAGTATGGGTGGGCTGATGGTGTGCTGGAAGAAGTGCCACTGAGGCCTTCGTACCTGGCAAAGCGATTGGCACCTGCTTTGCTGCAGGTGAAAGCGACGAATGATCTCTCTGAGGCTGAGTGTCTCTCTGTGGCATTGCTCGGCAAACTCTCCCAAGAAGTTGCACACATCCTCACTCTTCCCGCAGCGCAGCGGGATGCGAGGTTGGATGGTCTTATGGACTTGAGCCCTATTCCCAGCGACAAGCCTTTGGCGAGGGAGCAGAGGCGGCGTCTGCATCAGGCCCTGGACAATATGGTTCGCTGGTTTCTGCATGATCCTCTGACCTACTTGAACGGCCTGCCGCAGCATGCGACCTGCGAGCGATTGCGGGAGTTTGCAACCGCTGCAGTCGTTCATAAGAGATCATTGCGAAGGCTTAGCCAGAGTAATGTTGCCTTCTCGACACGCCCGCCATCAGACATTTTCCCAAGCAGCGCAGAAGAGCCTGATGTCGACGCTGCGGCTGTGCATGGCTTAAAACAGTGGAGCAAAGCGTTCAAGCAGTGGTGCTTTGATACAGTCGTGCATTTCTTTCTCTTAGATCCTGTCGTGCGAGCTAAATGGCTGACCGGTCGAAGGTGTGAGCGCTCGCACGTCAGCATTTTGACTAGCGAGCTTCGTGAAGCCATTGCAGCCAAGCGTTCAAGTGGGCTGCTTCCTTTAGCTGAAGATCAGTTTGCAGCCTTGATCCGCCAGCTTGCTCGCGATGTGTTGGTGGATCGTCCGCGGGTCCTGGATGTGGGTAGCTGCAACAATTATTTTGGGAGGATTCACGGGCAAGATTTGGAAGTGACGGCAGTTGACATGGCACCTGGCCATAGCTCAGTCCTTTCATGTAACTTCTTGGAGTTGCCTGTGGGGCCTCCCGGCAGCCCCTTGGAGTTGGTCAACCTGACAGGGGGCGCGAAGGCAGCAAGCTTGCCGGCTGGCCACTTCGATGTCGTCATCATGGCCCTTTTTTTTTCCATTCTGCCAGGCCCTGAAGCACGAGGCATCGCAGCATCCAAGGCGCGGCAGCTCCTTCGCAAGGCCAGTGGCCAAGGGCTACTCATCATCGCAGACACCAAAGGCACGGTGGGCCGTCACAGTGACCCAGCAACACGGCAAAGTTCCTGGGTCACAGCAGTCGAAGCCAATGGCTTCAAGCTTGCCAGTGATCCGCAGCTGCATTTGTCCAAGGAGCGTGTGAAAGGACGGCCCGGCTACTGGCAGCGCGCCTTCTGCTGGTCCTTTCTTACAGCTCCCGTTGATGAAAGCCGTACACACACAGCCATTCCACTTCTTTCTGATGAGCGGATGGCTCGCGCAATCTCGCCTGAACGACTGCGGGCGCAGCAACAGCGCGCGGCAAAGAAGCTGGCTCGCGAACGCAAGGCACAACTACGAAAGCTCGTAGCCGACTCAAAGAAGTCTGCTGACAAACCGGTGCCGCTGAGCCCAAAGACTTCTGAGATGCTTGAGTTGCCAGCGGCTACAAAATGGGGCAAGCACAGTAAAGGGCTGTAGCTGACCGCGGATGATATCCAGTAGTGCAGACAGATATTTTGTTGCTCAGCGCATGCGCTAGCACAGCCGAACATGTCATCATATGAGTGGGCAAGAGCCTTCTCAGGTAGCAGCATTATGTGTCTAGACAGCAAATGGTGGCAGGCTTCGTCGGCCGGCCGTGACAATCCATGACATTCCAGACGAACTGGAAGAAATCGAGGCCAGGGCTCTGCCTTGTGGCCCGAAGTCCATCCACCTCCCAAGCTTCTTTTCAAGTGAGTGGGAACTGCGGTAGTGAGCTGCTCACGGCGATCTCTGAAGCTGCCAGCCAGGTATCCATTGGGTTGTCCTCCACATCAAGCAACGAAAACGTATCCTGGAGTGAGTTGGAGCCCTTGCACAGCATCATAAACAGAGTGTTGCGCGCAATTTGTGTTGCGTGGCGCGATTTTGAGGCCCAGCAGGCCATGCCGGGTGCTGAAGGCATGGCAACCGGGCCCTGTGGCACAGTAGCAAAGCCAGAGATCTTTGCTGCAATGCGAGGTAAAGAAGCCACTGCTGCCTCCGCTGCCCCCCGTACTCACCGTCCTGAGCATCAACCGCCCCCTGGGCTTGCAGGAAGTCAGAGCTTGTAGGCCAGAAGAATTAAGCCAGATTTCGAGCAAGTTCAGTTCAACTCAGGCGCGCAGGTTCGATGGGTGCTGCCCAAGGACCTCACAGCAGAATGTTTTGTATCCAATTGCAGGTTGGTGTGTCACGTACGCTGCTTTTACAGAGGCTGCTATAACCTGCTGCAGCCTTGGTTGCAGGACCCCGAACCGATTTGTTTTCGCCTGCGGATGAGAGAACGTGGCTCCCAGGAAAGCCCGGATTTCTCTCATGGCCTTGTTATGGCAACGTGATTTATGTAAATTTACACCCAGCTTTTGCAGTGCTCTGCTTGCTTTCAGAAGCGCTCATCAAAGCCCATTCATATCCTCAGCTTGGTAGCCAGATTAAATATGATATGGGTGAGGACTGGTGCTTCGTGGACTCGTTCGGGCATGCTCGCAGGAGCCTTGACTATCCCCGGCTGAAGTGAGAAGTGACCGTGTCTGTGCTCAGGTGACGAAGACACGACGTTGGCCTGGCGGTCACGGCTCGTGCCACTGGCCTGGGCCCTGTGATTGCTAAAGCTAAACAGCGGCACGAAGCAAACCCAGGAATAAAATGGGATTGGAATGCAAGGTCAAAGATCTGTGGGTCAGCGCTTTTGGTGACTTTGACAACCGGAAGTCCTCGACCCCGGGAGCTGCAAGAGTTCGCAAGGTGGGGGGACGTCCGGAAGTCCATTGCATGTTTCTGGGCGCTTGACAGCCCGATCCTGATGTTTATGAGAGGTGGACCCCTCTGGGTCAGTGGAAATCGAATTCATGGAGCCTCAAGAGGACTTCTGCATAGGCCGGGGTCGCTTCAGCTTGTGCTACTCAGCTCACGATCTTTGAGCAGCGCTTGGCACGTCAAAAGCAGGCGGAGCTCCACCATCTGCCTGCACCTGTCTGCCCATCTGGTCTTCAGCAGAGACTACTTACCCTTGCCGAGGCCCTCGCTTGCACACAGTGCTCGCAGAAGCTTGGCGCTTCGCAGGACGCGACTTGTTTGATGCTTTCTGTTTGCCGTTTGGTGGTTGTGGTGGTGGTGGTGGCGCTGGCGGCGGCGGCGGCGGCCTTGTTGCAAGTCGTGTTGGAGTAGGTTCTTTTGGAGGTAACAACAAAACACAGTGGGATGCCCTGGCGAGGACGAAGTTCACACAATCCCTTTTGCGTGGATTGAGGCTGGGACTCCGGTCACAGTCTTCCACGCCGGTAGGGTGGCAACACCAATCTCAGCAACAGGAAGGCTAGTATTCACAATTAGGTGGGCTTGGCTGATTCAACATCAAAAGCTTAAGTTGCGCAAAGCGTGGATCCGCGGCAGTTTTGATCAAGAGGGGTGCGGCAGGCTAGTCGTAGTTAGGTAACGTCCAACGCAATGCCGTTGCGTATAGAAAGAGTCTCCAGAAAAAGGCTGCCTGGTCAAACTGCGGCTTGCTGGGAAGCATGCATTGCATGAGCCTGCAAGCACTTGGACCGCTCTCAGGCTGTGCTTATTAGTTCTTCAAGCTCGCCGGGCGTGGCCATGCAGCAAATTATTCACCTGACATCCTGTCAAGCTCGCGAGCTAGACACATCCCTTTGTTGCATTCAGGATTTGCCTAGGCAATTGCATGAGGAGCTGCCACGGCCACACAAGCCATTTCATTTGATGTTCGTCAAGGGTTCGAGGGTTGTACCCCCCTAGGGTTGTATCCCTGCGTTTTTGGGATCCTGCTAAGGAACCCTGGGGGATACACGGGTTCATAAGGGTTGTATTGGGTTTTATTTGGGGGGCCATGTTGGGAAAACGTTACAGCTCTGGAGCCCTGCATCCAAGGTCCCTGGGACGCGAGGATGCGCTTCCCTTTTCAAGAGGGCTGCCTGGCCTAATCCCTTCCCCCCAATATTAAACCCCCCACCCCCCCCCTAATATTGAATACCATTGTGATATATTACAGAGCTATCAGAGCTTGTTCTGTTTTTATCAGGCTTGTGGTGCTTAGTTCGTTCCTGTCAAGGAATCCCCAGCTCCACGTTCTTGTCAAGAAGTGCGAAAGAATGCAGAGAATCATTGGCTTTTGCAGGCGGAAAGCCCGGTCGCCACGGAACTCTGCGAGGGGTCCAAGGATTGCGGAGCTGGGCGCCCAAAAGGAGAACAGCTGCAGTCACTCTAATGATCGCCGAAAACTGCCAAAGGGTATGAGACAATCAGTGCGGCCCCACTTGCGGCCTTGAAAGCCTCACGAGCACAGTCATTCTATATCGAAGGATAGAACCAGCATAATTATGGACTGTAGATGATACATGGGTGGCTTGAATGTGTTGCATTCGCAGACGTGCAATTTGTCATTGTGCTGACACCAAGGCACAAAGACGCTTGGCTGACTTGAGCAGTGTTGTGCCACACTCTAACACATCAAGGAGATTTTGGATGTTGAAGTTGCGGCTGACTGCACAGACAGTGGTCATAGCGATTATGAAGAGTCCTCATTTGATGTGTTCTGGTGTTCTTCTTCTTTAATCTGCGTCGGTTAACATCCAGCTATGCGCAAGTGCTCATTCAAGGGTTGAAAGTAAATCTCTGGAGGATTCTGGAGGTAGCTGACGCCAACGGAGCGCTTGCAGCTAGATCAGCACGTTGTCATGAGCCCAGGCGTCCCGCGAGAAAGTGCATAAGGTTCAGCAAAGGAGGCCGAAGTGCTCTCCGCTTCGACGACCCTTGGCAGGAATATGGGCACCTATGGGACTTTGATACATAGATAGTTTCGTTCCAATCAAAGCCTGAAGGCGAGCGGGTGGATGTGTACGTAGTCTGTTACTTGTAGGAACCTGGAAAGCATATTTATTCATGGACACCTAATTTCCTTACACTGGACCTCTACCAGCTACCAGAACACGTGAATGCTTGGGTTTGGCCTGGTCCACCTAAGTCTAGCTTGGACTTTTTGAGGCATGTACCGCGTCCACTCGCTTCGCAACATCGCCCGGCTAATCCGAGGAGCTCGAATTCGTATGGTTAGCCAGTTAGCCAAGCCCCTTAGTTTGTAGCCAACATGTTCAGCTGACTATGCCAACTCCGAACAAGCACATTGCGGAAAGCGTTCAAGATTTGAGCTCTGAGAGGAGGACCTGTTTGCGGAGACGACTTCCTTTGGGAGGAGTACGTGGACAGCGACATCGAGTCCGAGGAGGATGTGGCTGGGCCAGCAGACAAGACTTGATATTCCTGCTATGCAGAGCATTGTGTTGAGCATGCTGTCTCTGTGCTGCTGCATGCGGGCTGGGTGTGGAAAACCTGCCAGATGATCCTTCCCTGTGGCCTTGGTGCTAACGAGGCCGTAAGCATGATGCAACTGGGCTCCATACTGTACATTGTGCTTTGTTCATCCTTCCTTACCTCTTCCTGCACATGGGCGCCAGTCACGCAGAGCCTGCTCTGAAAGGCACCGCGAGCTCACACCAGAGGACTATGAGCATCTCGGCTCTGGTTTCGGTGACAGGCCCCTCCAGCAGGTGTATTTTCAAAGCAAATATCCCTTCTGTTGTAGTACTTATAGGGCAGGCTTCAAGAGGATGACTCTGGTTCTGAGGAAGCTATGCAAGCTCGACGATGCCATTCCAAACCGGAACACGCTCCGAGAAGGCCAGCTGGGCAGAGTCAGCCAGCTTGCTGAGTTGCACCAGGAGTGGCTCACGCAGGTAGAATGAATTTCTCGCAAGTGCATAGCGGCGTAGCGGAAGGATGTTGCCAAATGGCGCAGGCCACATGTCGAGACTCAGATTCCATGGATCATCAGTGCTTCTCCAAAGTGTCTCACAGTCTTTGCATCTCTTTGCTGCTGGATCCTCAGATCTTCGTCGCACCTCCGATGCACCAGACAGAGCAGTGCAACTGTAGCCATCTTCGGACCCTGCACCATCACCTCTCAGTCAAAAAGCTTTTTCTGTCTGCTCGGCCCGGAACCCTCGACAGCCGTGCATTGACACGCTACTGTGTGTCATGAAGTTGCGTCACCGTGATCCGCAGGCCAGGTTGAGCAACTCCCTCGGCTCAGACTGGGTGGCCAGTCGGCGCAGTCAGCGGAGTGTGGCATTTGCTGTCAGGCTGCAAGAAGACACCTGAAAGCATCGAAGCGCCTGCTATTGAGTGCTATGTTAACTGAGCTCGAGGTTTGTCATCACTGGGTGCAGGAGAGGCTGTGAAGCTGCCTTGCTCGCATCTGCAGCGCACTCAGAGTTGGACTAGCTCAAAAGCCTTAGATTCGTTGAAATGCTTTGTCCAGGTTCCACCAGCCGTGCATCAAGAAGTGGCTCACGAGCCTTGCTTGATTACTTGAGAGCTGTTGCAATGCTGGGGAGTCCGTCTTTGCACGCTGCCTGATATAAGGCAGTGCAAGAACACTTGCCCCATTTGCTCCGTGGAGATAGAGCAAAGCTGAGCCAGAAAGATTTCTTCGCGTTAATCTGTCAATGTAAAATTTGCTTGCATGGCTGCATGGACTCTGCAGCTTGCATGATCAGGTGGCCTGTAGATTGTAGATGCCTCCTTTTGCTTGGACCGTCGTTTTTGTTGTGTTCGATTTGATGCAGAGTCGCTAGAAGTCTTCCACCCAAACGTGGCTGCCAACGAAAACGTCTGTGGCAGACAAAGATCCTAGTAGAGTATATGGCGGAGCGGGGCACAACTGCTCCGCACGTTTTCCGGAGCCCATCATGGGCAGTAGGATAGGCTCCTTCAAGGGTTTAAAGAACGCCTTCTCCTCACACGCTTGGAGGTGGTGTGGGTGGGCGGGAGGCGCACTCTCCTGAACAAGCCGGCAGTCGGGTCGAATCTGTGCATGGGCCAAGCTTGTCAACTGAGAATGTTCGACGAGACGTATGTACTGACCACATCGCCGTCCACCAAGAAATCTGCCGCATGGCGGAGAATACTTGAGAAAGTTCAGACCAGCAAGCTTTGGCCTTGAGACAGGCGATCCAAAGGGCATGTGTAAGCCCGGAAACTCTTTGCCTCGGGTGTGCTGCCGTCGCGAAGCGAGTCTTGCAAGGTGAGCAAGAGGCAGTCAAGCCCAAACCCACCACTTGGCAGTGGACTTATCCTGGATGGGCGAGACAAATCATACTTCTTCGTCATCCTCGACTGGAAGCTGTTCTAAATCCCCACATTATCTCTCCAAGCTAAACCCCGGGAGCCGTTATCAACTGGATTTGAGCTGGTGTCGAGAGAGATATTTGTTCTCATGCCGTGGTCCCGCACATTTCTGATTGAACCACAGCAAGCGGCATTTTGTAACGTTTTTTTTAAGAGACAACGTGAAACAACATTCTCGCTAGAATCCACAGCCAAAGTGGGTAAATTTCTGCAGTCGCATGCCCCGGGCACAGATGATGCCAGCTCTCTGAGATGTGCGCGTCCGCGCTACCCGACTGTCCGCCAGCAAAATAGAGTGCAACACTACGCATGCAGAAGTCGATGGTTGCTTAACGGACAACTGCAAGTAACTGCATAGCTTTGAATGTTGACGTGAAGGCTGTTTGGGTGGCAGATGGCAAGAGCTACCTCAAGGCCGTGCACGAAGTTGATAGCAGCCACAGATAAGAGAATTGGTGAAGCACGCGCAGCTTGCCCATGTTCGACGTTGGAGGTTTAAGTCTGGGTTTCTTCTCCAATCCTGAAAAATGTTGGTGCATGGATGCTAAGGGCACTCCACTGGCATCTCACATCGAAGAGAAGCAGGCAGGAAGTGGTCATCCATCTGGAAGGTTGCGGGCATCTGACGTCTATCATGGAAAATTGCCAGGCACGTCTCGAGCGCCCGAGAGGCTCCAGTGCGTCCCGACCCTAGAATGCCTTCTCAGCTTTCGACTCACACTGCAGGTTCAACATGGGGTAACGCACGACTTCTGCAGCCAAGGCTTTTGCAGATCGATGGCGATGAGACACTGAAGGTGCAGACTGGTCCTGAAGCAACGTCTTGGCAACTAGCCGAAGGAAGCAGGGGGCATGCGCAGTCAAAGTCATGTTGCAGGTTGCTGCTGAGGATTGCAGGCCAAGAGTGTATCCTTCGACTCCGGTATCGCCATAAGCTGCTCAGGTATCGTCTAGAGAAGTTGGGACATAGAGGAGCTTTACGCCAGGGACTGCCGCCATGGCAGCTCCAGACGCCCGTGAGAGGGCTTCTGGTGGCCGCCAGTCGCAATTCAAGGCAACACACTCCCGTGAAGCTGAAGCGGCAAGACTTCATGCAGCGCTATCATCTCAGCAGCTTGCAGTAAAGGTACCCCTTTGTTTTTCACACCCCTGGCGGTTTAGTAAGAAATGGAAGCTCACTATCACTGACTAGATATCTGGCAAGCCCTGCATGTGCTGGCTTGATGTGCATGAGGCAGAGTGATTCTCGAGCCAACCGATTGGAGCAGATGCGACGCATCGCGATGGACACTTTGCTCACTTCAACTACCAGTGATGGGAAGGAAGAGGTGGAGATTCAGGATGATGATGACGATGAGGTAGCGGATCCTAGCACTGACATGGATATGGGTGATGGGTATGCCCAAGGAAAGAAAATGCAGCGTTTGAGGCGTTTACACAGGACCCTTTTCTTTGCTAGGCAAATGCAAATACCGGACTGGATGCTGGTTCCGCCGCAGGACTTGGCCGAAAGCTGGCTTGTCCTTGCAAAGCCAGAAGGTGACAGATGCTTGCTACTATCCGATGGTGGCCATGTGCACGTCCGACAGAAAAATGGACACATCTTAGAGAAATTCACTGACTCTCGCTTCCCCCGAGGGCTCACGATTTTGGATGCCGTGTGCATAGAACCTCCTCAGACCAAGAAGCCTGCACAAAACAAGATGCAGGACTCAAATGCGGGGCATGAGGAGATCGAAGAGCCCAGTGTGCCAATGGAGGAGCCAACCTCACCAATAGAGGAGGCAGCATCAGGGGATGATGCAATGGGCTGTGCCCAGGGTGGTAAATCCTCAGGCAAGGGCCGCCGCCGCAGACCCCCTGGCAACCGCAAGTATGCCATCTGCGATGTGCTGGTCTGGGGTGACATGGACATGGCCTCAACGGAAGCAGAATTTCGCTTGTTCTGGCTGCAATCACGCTTCGAGGAAATGAGAGAGAAAGCTCCACGACGGGCAAGGCCATTACAACTCATACGAGCTTTGCCAGCCACAGCAGAGTCCATCAGGGAGCTTTACTCGGAGGATTTCGGCTACTCCAAAGACTCCTTGATGTTCCTACACAGGGAAGGAAGGTACCAGATCTCTGAGCCTGTGACTCCTGTCGCGAAGCTGTGGCGAGATCGGCAGCTCAGCCGATTTGTGGTGGACACGCCGGATGAAAAGGGCCAGGACCTGCCCTCCAAGCAGTCAGTAGTCCTCGAAGTGCGAGGAGGTGGGCGGTTAAGGACTGCAGATCGCCACTTGGTTGCACAATGCCGGGAGGAAGACCTGGACAAATTGCAAGGTCAGGCGAGGAACAAATCTCTCGTCCGATGCGACATCGAGGCCATCGACGTGGTGAATCGATGCTTGCAGGTGGTTCCCGTGGCCCATGTTCCTGCACGTTCGCGTGTTTGGCCTGATTCCTGGGCCCGCATTGTCTTCCAGCACTTGCACCGCTCCGGCCAGTCCTCATACATTTCTTTTGAGGCGCTGATGCAGGCGGCCGGTGCCTAGCCCACACGTACAGCATAAATGTTTATGGTACAGGCTGCACAGCACTTGCGGCAGGTCTCCCAAAACTAAGGATGAGACATGCCTCAGAAAAAGAAATCGTTAATGTCAGGCTTCGCCAAAGGCCTTCATAGAGTTTTGTATCTCGCGCAGCGATTCGCAGCGGACGTCATCTTCTTTAGAAAAACAAGTTCGAGAGCATGGTGCATGCTGAGCGCCTGCTCACCAAGTTCAGGAGGGTTTTTTGGTAACGCTACTCACCGACTTCATTGGATTTGGGGCAGACTGCCAGGTCGGTGACAAGCTGGGCCCTGAGCAAGTGTGAAGATTTGAGAAAAATCAAGAAGTAGGACATGGTTTCTTCCAGAGGCAGTGGATCGATGTGGTCGCCTCCAAAGCAGCCGTCTCCAAAGTGCCTTTGCGCAGCTGGCCGTGTGTTCACTGAGCATGAAAGGCTTTTTTTCTCCGCAGGTGCAGCTGACAGCGCATGAGATTGTCGGCTTGCGGGCTGAGATTGGCTACGAAGTTTCTGCTCAACGCTCAACACTTTCCAGAATAAGCAGGTACCCAGAAGCAGCTCTCGTGATGTAAAGCACGCTTTCAGGTCCAAGCGCTGACAAAGGGTGGCTGGCAGTGATCTTAGTGGAGATATTCGCTGTGCGGCAGAGATTTGAATGACCGAGTCAGCACATTGGCATAAGTTTCTAGCCAACTTAGTTTAGCAGTGTCGTTGCCGCTATGCCAAGAATGCTGTCTTTACTGAATCCGTGGCTTTGCTGTTCTTCACTTGAATGTGCCAGCATCTTGCCCCCTTTTCCTGGATTACCTGTTGAACCCTAGTTACTCTAGATTCGCGGCGCGCTCCATGCAGTGCCCCACTCCCTTGCCTTGTCAGGACAGATTGGAGCACACCGGGCTCCATACAGATGCCCAGGATCGGCTACGAGCAGGAGCAGCTCGTGAGACGCAAGCTCAGACTGGAACCTTGATTGGCTTCGGCTTGGTGTTTTAAATAAAGTCCTGGGAAGACGCATCCTGTGACAAGGCGCTTTTAGTAGATGAACATGAACAGTGCAGCTTCGCCCAAAACTGCACAGTTTTGATCTTGAGGCGAGCGGAAGGCCAACGCTTTGTACCGAGCAGATCTACTCCCACAGGCATCCCAGGGTTGGTCATGGAATGGTGACCTACATGTTTTCATATTCTTGTCCCTTGCTGAGAGTGTCTGCAGGCAGCGTACAAGGAGTACGAAAGGCAAGGACCACAGCCAGCGCAAAGCAGAAGAGTAAGTCGTGGTTTCGTAAGAGTCGGAGCAGAGCAAGGAAAGGGCATCCTGCTCATAAGTGGCGAGCGCTAGTGCCGCTAGTGACCGCTACTGACCGCAGATGCCAGATGGTGCGTTTGCAAGGTGCTGGGATTCAGTGGAGGAGTGCCTCACCGCTGATCGGCTGGAGCGCATCCAACAGGTTCTCAATGCCAAGAAGGACTTCCTTAACCATTCCCAAGCAGAAGATGCAAATGCGGCTTTTTTTTGGCTAGGCCTCCAAACAGTAAGCATAGAAGGCCACAGCCTGCGCATCATGCAGAATGCCAGGGCCTCTTGTTTCAACAAGGCTCAGCTGCGTGGTGCAGGACCTCGCTCAAGAGTTCGACCTTGAGCTTTCTAGATGGCTTGTCGACATGGAGGGCCCAATCCGGGAAAGCTCCCGAATGCTCGAGGTCTTGACCTCAGTGGCGCAAGCATGAAATAGCACGTTTGACGCAAGAAGTATTGGCTTGCGGGCTTTGAAGCTGGCATCTACAGGCGGAAGCCCGGGTTCTCCTGCGAGATCTAGTCAGCAGAAAGGCACGCTTGGCATTTGTTTTTGCTGTTCTTTTGTAGCGTGCCCCGCCATTGGCTCATTCCTTTACGGAACAACTTCAACGCATGCAATTGCTGGTACGAACGTGAATCCATGTTCGTAGCCGGAAAAAGCCATGCTCGGCAGGCCAACTTGAACTATAGAGATCAGGCCACAGGTCGCGTGGCCCTGACCTACGTCCCGCCCACAGCAGACGAGCAGCGTGCATGCTGTGACATTGTCCCACTGATTGCAAACAGCTCGGGCACTGTAGTTGCTCATGGAGCCCTTAGGCCTGCGAGTATGGGTGGAAGGTGAAGCCTGGCATCATTGAGGCCTGCCGGCACTACACCTGCCTAAGCTGCTGTCCGGCTCTTTGGAATTGACTCAGAGCTGCCGTGGATGCAGGAGCTTTTGCAACTCCGTGCCGACGTGGACTCGATGAATGAATCTTGGCCTGTCTGTCAGAACGACCTTTGCATGTCACTTTGCCTGTGCAAATCCGTGCCTGTCTGCAGTTCTCACAAGAAGCAGAACGCTAAACTGCACAGCATGAATGCTTCGTTGAACAGAGCACAGCCGTGTGCTGGTCAACCCTTCCCACTGGGCAAATCATGACAACCTTACCCGACCTCACCTTCAATGGCGGTGCACATGCAACTTTGTCTCAATTTCAGGTTCTACAAATTATAAGATGGCCAGTTCTCAGGATGCTCGAAACACGGCACTGGGAATTGCTGCTTCTGGTGGGCACGAGACCATTGCAGTGTGCTTAGAGGGCCAGTCTTGGACCAGGATTAGGAGAAACGCGACTATGCGCAGCATTGCCAGCAGCACGGACAGACAAGCGTGCTTGTCTCTTATTTATCTGCCAAAGGTCGAGGTGCTGCTGCAGCACAAAGCGGACGCGACTGTTGTCAGCTTGCAGGCATCGACTTGTCCTACCTACAAGAAAAGAAGAAACGAAGAAGTCACATGGCTCATAGCCTCTCGTGCGCAGGGTGAGACAGCCCTCCTGCGAGCTCGAACCTTCCGAGGCTGGTGGGGATGGGGGTCTTTGGATTACACAGCCGGAATACTTGCAGTGCCTCGCTTCATTGCGTGACTCAAGACAATGGCCTTTTCTAGGCTTAGGCTTCTCAGGGTCCCTGCATCCATACATAGAATTCCAGCTTTCGTTCCCGCTGCTCTCAAGTGCCTAGAGTTCAAACAACATCTGAGCGGCCTAAGATCTAGACGTTGGCTTCCTGTTTCTTTAACTAATCCATTGAATGGTGTAGTATTCAAGGGGGCAGGCGGATTTGGGCCACCAAAAGCCTTTGGATTTTCAGGCATGCGTTGATTGATTTCTCATCCAGTGCCCAGCCTTGCAGAAGCCCTGATTCACTGGGGTTCCTGAATGCAAGGTATGACCACTGCGAAGATTCAAGGCATCAACCGGTGCAGGCCCAACAAGTTGCCCTTGTACATCACAATTTTATGCTGTGTTGAAGTGTTCTCCATTTCAAGACAAGAGCACGTGCAGGGCTCTGTTGAGCTGCTAGGCAGCAAGTCGTAACATGCCGTAACCAACTTGTTATGTTGGATATCATTGTGTGGCGCGCAGCAGCTGTGCCCCAGATGCTCGACATGCGCTCAATGTTGGAGACTTCACTGTTTGGCAGGGAGCTGCTGCGGCAAAGCCGGCTGCCGTGGGAGAGCTTCGAGGCTCGGACTACCAGCTCACTACCAGGCTTCGTTTTTGACAATGCTGAGTTGCTGTCAGGCTGCCGTGGCGAATTTGGCTGATGATCCTCCAGCAGCTGCGAGGGCCTTCCTGGAGCGGGCTTAATGCAAAATTGTCAAGATGCTGCTCAGCACGGTTTTGGAAGAGCAGCTAAGCTAAAACGAAGCCTTAGTGCTGCGGAACGACAAATCTCCTGACAGGAGCTAGCGTTTCCTGGTGGGTCCCAGCCCCGCTGGCTGGGAGATTGCTGAACCGATGCTGCCATTCCAATCTGAGTTTGTTGCGGCAAAAGTGCTGCTCCGGAATTTTTATTGGTACACCATGCGAAGGTCCGGCACCATGTTCGTGGCCGACAAGGAGGGCAAGAGGATCTCTAAACATGACAAGCTCCGGCTCTACGAGTACCGCGCCCAGTTTTTGGGAAGCTGTAGTCGCAGCGCTGCGCAGTTGCTGCTCGGTCTCGGTCCGTATGGTCTGTCCAGCCATGAAATCGTTGGCTTGCGAGACAAGGGTTTCAAGTGATTTGCTCGTGTTGGTGACTGGCCTGTGTATTATTGAGTTCTTTGTTTTGCGTCGTTCCGCGTTCAGGCTCTCGTGTTAGGTTGAATTCCTGTACTCGTAGCTAGAACTTCGAAATGCAACACTCTGCAGTGAAGATGGCGGCGGCGATCAGGGCCTCATGGTAATACTGGCCGATATCAGTACAGAGCTTGATAACCAGGCAGATCTGCGAGATGCGCGATGACGGTGGCTTTGAAGAGGCAAGCAGCTACTTGCTGCGCGAGGGTGAATCCTGCATCTAACCGTGCAAGGCTGAAAGACGCGGTCGGTTCTGCACGGCGCTGAGACGATGGCTTTCCCACGCCATTCTGGACAACAGATTGCAACCTTTGGCAAGAATTGGTTCTGTTTCTGCAGGTGCCGAAAAGCTGCTCCTTCCACAGGCGGGATACCAGAATCTCATACTTCCTCGTCATGTATGATCCTCTCTACGATGGACAGAAAGCCCTTCAATAGCGTTTAACCTTTGGAGCACGCTGCCGATGTAATACACATGTGTCAGACGTGCAACATTTTGCAACCCACGTTGCGTTTCCTAGCCAGGTGCGCGCTGCTTCGCTACAGTCAGAGCCTCATGATGGGCCACCAAGCTGGGCCTGCGGAGTCAGAGCAGTATGCGATGAGTGCAGCTGCCGGCTGACAAAGGCAACCGCCAAACAAAGAGCCATAGCCTTGGGTAGAAGAATCCACGCAGTTCAAGAGTGCCACCGCTCATAATCTCTAAAATCCTAGGTGCAACTACTTTGCGCGCTACCTGCTCCATAGTGGAATCATCAGGTGGTGTTTGCCAGAGGTGGGGGATCTACAGACATGACAAGTATGCAGGGTGTGGAGATTTTGCGGTCTCGCATTTGCCAAGCCAAGATCTACTGCAGCATTTGCCTAGCTTCTAAGTGGCATTCAGTTCAGAGTCCCCTTTGTTGGGGTAGCTGTGCCATTGGGGCTAGTGCGTGTCGAGCACTGGACAAACATTGACATTTGTTTATGCTTGTGGAAGAGGCAAAGAAGCTGGCTGCAGAGCTCCTGGCACACTATGCTCAGGTGCCGCTTAAGACTTGCCGCTTGATCATTTGCCGCATGTCAAATGCGTTGAGGGCTTTTGACTTGCACCGCTGGCGTTGAAATAGCTCCCTTTTGAGAGTGGTAGAGTGAAGGCCAAGTTACATTACAACCAGGCAATATCAATATCCTATAGCCTCTTACAGTCCGTATACGGGTAACATTCGTGTTTTGCAATATGTCTGCCGAGTGCTGTTCTAACTCTGAAAGCAGACATCACGTCTGATCATCATGCTGTCCCTGGCATGCCACGCATCAACGTGGCATCGGAAGCAGCAACCCCTTGACAACCCTGACCACTTGTCATGGGACACAGGAGCTGCAAACGCGGAGATTAGCCCTGAAGAAGCTGCCCAAGCTTACGCAGGAGGCAGGTCAAACATGCAGAGTTGATTTCCTTTTCGGACCATGCGATTGAGATGTGAAAAGTTGATGCGGCATCATGATCTTTGTAGATGAGAGTGGCGTGTCAGCTCACTAGTGCAGCGTACACTGCCACGAGACCTCGTGGTCTGAGAGCAAAACGGAGCCAGAAACCCGAAGCGAGCGTTTGCAAAAGTGGCCATTCCATTACCTGCCAGGCAGAGCTCTTTCTGGGCAGTAGGCCCAAGTTTGCTGGCCGGTCTCTGCACCAGTGGCCCGGGGCAAAGTTGGGCGAATCACGGGTCTTCTGCACCCCTGGAGTGCTTCCGATGTACTTGCTGAGGCACGCACATGATGATCTGCCATGGCTCACGCAGCAGAATGTGGTTGGCACCTTTGAGGCTACGAGCTGGCATGGCACTTCCTTGATAGAGTTGAGTTGCTTGGCAGTAGTAGGGGCAGACAAGGTCTGGAAAGCAGCGAGCTATTGATTGATTCTGTCACAGGTAGAAGGTGGGATCGAAATTGGTTCCTACACAAGAAACGCAGCCTGAGAGCATAGGGGCTGGGTGGGGTCAGACTTGGTACTTACTGTGGAACGGGATTTGCTTACAGATCTGCTCATGGATTGGTGGACACCCACTCCACTCACTACATTTGCGTGGCTCATATGCCCAGCTCTGGCACGAATAGTCGTTAAGAGATTTTAACTCTAGTCTTTGCAGGCTTTGGTGCACTGCGGCGCAGTTGTGAGCATGGAGGACAGACCAAATGTTGTGGGCCTTGCAGCATGAATGCGTATACCCAGCGTGCGCTTTGCATCTCAGAAACCTGCTTGTTTTTTGAAGTATTTTCGGCTCAAGGCTAGACATTGCCCTTACAGTGTGATCTTGACGTGGTGTGGCCATGCCCTCTTCCACCAGGCGCGAATTGCCTGACCTCGTTTTTGAGGTGATGTGCAGGTTCTGCATGCAAGGATGCTCAGACATCTGCTTTCAGTGAGTTCCCGATTTGGCATCACGAAGAGAATCCTTTCATCAAAATTCAAGAGGGCGACCCGCCTCTCATCTGAGCAGTCATCCAAGAGAATGGCGGGTTTCGGAGTTGAAGGGAGCCATTAAAAAACCACAAAGCTAGTGCAGGCAGTTCCGCCTGGGTCACGGCCTTGCTGCTGTTGCGGCCATCCTTTGCCTGCGCGCTGCAATCAGGCCCGGCGTTAAGGGCCAAGGGTGCTAGGTGGGAAGGCCGCGCATTGGGGAGTTACATGCTGCAGGGCTCTTTCATGCCTTTGCTAATGGATCATGACTCTTGATGGCATTGATTTAGAGCAGTTATGCACGAGATGGGTGCTGTTGGCTTGGACGGGACCATGTATCTCATACTTGCTGACGATTAGTTGCCGGCTTAAACGCAGACGCACCCTTTAAGCATGCAGGTCTGGGACGTCGAGTGAAGATGCGTCTTTCATCAGCACCTTGACTGCAATGCCTCGGATGTATCATTGAGCTGTCAGTGCCCATTCAGTTGCCTGGATGCAAGATGTGGGCCTTGACTCAAGCGCTTCCTAGCCTGAGGCCTACCCCAGGCTCAGCGTGCAGCTGCTGCTGGCATGGTGGCAACCCTCCTGGCCTCCTCTGCTAGCCCCGCCCTGGCCGAGGATTGACCTTGATTTTGTTCATGCTCTATGCAAGTAGACTTTCATGCAGGATTCCAGCCTCAAGTCGCTGGAGGCAAAAATTGCGATGCGTGACGCAGGCATCACTCGCCTCCAGGACCAGCCACATTTGGGACAACCTGATCTAACCATGCAAGCTTTTGGGCATCTTGTCAGCCACAACTGCAGAGGAAGAGAAAAAGCGGCCTCAGCTGAAGCTGAACGAGGTCCACAACTCTAAGTCGCGCATGTCTCGTTGGACTTGGGAGAGGTGCCTAAGGAAGTTTTTCCCGTCCATAGCGCATCAGCCAATTGTGAAGCGCCCCTTCTTTGCTGTGCTTGCAGACCTTGAGCCTAAGGAGCCGAGACATTTCTCAGATGTCTCAGCTTTTCAAGCGTTTCCTTGGCGGTAAGGTGGAGAAGCTCGAGAAAGAAGAGATTCAGACCGCCCGATCTGCAGAGCAGCTGAAGGCATTAATCGTAGGCAGCCCATGTGCAGACGCCCACTTGAGTCAGCAGACACCCACATGAGTCAGCTCCAGAGGAATGAAGGGGCCCTCGTTCTGTCTCATGTGTTGTACTGGATAAGGCGCTAGCTGTTGGGCAGTGTGTGAATCAGCACTCGCGGAGGAGAAGAGGATCATCGAGGAGGAAAGGAAGGCCAAGCAGCAGGCACTGGAAGCGGAGAAGCGCGAGAAGGCGGATCATGGCAGGGATTGAGATTTCGAGGGTTCAACAGTGCTGCATTGCACTATGGCTTTGGGATTTGCAGGCCCAAATCGAAAAGCAAGAGAAGGAGGCCAAGGCTAAGATTGACAAGGAGTACGAGGTTGAGAAGCAGAAGATTGAGCGTGAGGAGAAGAAGCTCGTGGAGGAAGCCAGGCGCACAGAGCGGGAGGAGAAGAAGGCCGCCCGGGAACTTGAGAAGCAGGCCTTGTCAAAGGCTACGTCAGACAACGCCCGCCTTGCGGCCGAGGAGAAGAGCGAGGCCGCCTTCAACGCGGCAACGGAGAAGGCTGAAAACGCAATCCTCGCGGCTGAGGAGAAGGCCGAAGCGTCCTTAAAGGCAGCTTTGGAGAAGGCTGAGAAGGCACGGGTGGAGGTCGTAGAGAAGTCTGAGCTCTTGGAGAAGGCGGCTGCCGAACGCTCAGAGGCAGCCATCGACCAGGCAACGGAGACGGCCGAGAAGGCGGAGAAGGATGCTGTGCAAGAGGAAGAAAAGGTGGAGCAGGAGATCGTGGAGGCAGTGGATGCCATTGAGAAGGAGGAGCTCATCGAGGAGAATGCCTTGCTTGAGACTCTCAAGGGCGGACTGCTGAGCGCCTGGTCAGTTGCTGCTCCACTCGTCATTCCTGGGATCTTCATTGCGCTGTATGCTGTCATTGCCAGCTTCTTCAATCCCCCTCCAGAGCCTTGCCTTGGAACAGAGGATGATGAGACCAGAGCGGTGATGGGCCGGGCGGCACGCCCCAAGAAGGCCAAGGCAACTCTCGATCCATGGACCGACGGCAAGAAGATGGCAGTGGGCGCTGCCAGTGCAGCAGGAGCTGTGTTGGCTGTTGTCGCCTCGACTCCAACCATGGGTTTTGTGTCCACATCCCCATCTCCGAGCCTCAGAACCTCCCAGATGCAGCCTGGTTTCCAGGCTGTTCAGTCGCGGGCAAAGAACCCTGCAGTGCAAAGCCGAAGCTCCTCTCAAGGAGCACTGGCCATGGGGTTGGCCTTGGGTGTTGCTGGAGGCATGCGCCACCGCGTGCTTCGCAAGATCCGGCTGCATGCACAGGCAAAGCCTTCAGAGATTTCTGGGGCAAATCCCCTGAAGGTAATTGTTGCCGGCGGAGGCGTCGGCGGCTTGCTGTTGGCGAAGGCCTTGAGCAAGGAGCCCAACATGAAAGTAACGGTCCTCGAGCAGGCCAGTGCCTTCCAGCGATTTGGAGGGCCCATCCAGCTTGCCTCCAATGCCTTGTCTGTCATTCGAGACGTTGACAAAGAGCTGTTTGAGGAGCTGATGAAGCGGTTCACCTTCACCGGCTACAGGAAGAATGGCTTGGTGGATGCCTTGCGCAGCGAATGGTATTGTACATTTGATGCCATGAAGGACTCCGCTGAGATGTTTGACCTGCCCTACACTGGTGTGGTCGATCGACCCGACCTTCAGGAGATCATGCTGCAGGCCTTGCCAAAAGGTGTTCTCACAAATGCTACCAAAGTAGTGGGCTATGAGAAGCTCCCCAACTTCGAAGGAGTCAAGGTGAAGACCGAGGATGGCACTGAGTACAAGGGAGATGTGCTGATTGGCGCTGATGGCATTTGGTCGGCAACTCGTGCCCAGATGTGGAATGAAGAGCAGAAGGGCCCTGGATCCGGCTGCACATACAGTGGTTACATCGTCTTCGCTGGTGAGACCATCTACAAGCCGGAGGATTACTTTGAGGTTGGCTACAAGGTGTACATGGGACCGAAGCGATACTTCGTGACCTCAGACGTTGGACGGGGCCGCATTCAGTGGTACGCGTTCGTGGCAGTCGGGGAGGGCGAAGAGGTGCCTTCTGATAATCTGGAGAAGCGCGAGTACGTGAAGGCGGCCTTCCAGGGCTGGTCCTCGCAGATCGCCGACTTGCTGGATGCAACTCCAGTGAACAGCCTGGAGGATCGATCGCTGTACGACCGCCCCCCTAGCGTGCTGAAGTCTTGGGCTGATGGGCCTGTGGCCTTGTTGGGCGATGCCTGCCATGCCATGATGCCAAACCTAGGACAAGGCGGTGGCCAAGCTATGGAGGATGCCCACTGCATCTGTGACAAGCTAAAGAACCTCACCGACCGTAGTCAGGTGCCAGATGCCCTGCAGGACTACTACCGCACTCGCATTGTCCGGGCTAGCGCTGTGCAGGGATTGTCTCGGTTGGCTTCTGACATTCTGTTGGGCACCTTCACCTTTCCTTGGAAGCCATCCGAGGGCCTTTCAGCCCCATATGGCAAAGGCAAGGGAGACTTCACCTATGAGGGTGTCGTTGTGAACTACCTCAGGAATATCTTGCCGGCAGCTTTCACTGGTCAGTTCACCTTCCTTTATTCCTTCCACCCTTTCAAGTGGACCAAAGATGAGGTCACCAAGATTGTGCAAACCGTGACTTGTCTGCGATATCAAATCATGCCCGTGGCATAGACCATTATAGACCAGCAGTGGTTCCGGCAGGCAGAAGGGCATTACAATCCTGCAAGGTCCATTGTGTTTCTCAGGTCCAGCTTCTGGATTTTTTGTTCCTGACCGTAGCAGCCGTAGCAAGCATGACAAACTCTGAGCACTCTGCCTGAAATCCCTTTCGTGCTTGTCCAAGGTGATGGATCGCCACAAGGTAGATGCGTCCGCAGCGTGGCAGAAGCGCCAAGAGGCCGTGGAGAAGGGCGAGGCCAGCGGCACCTCTTTCTGCTTTTCTAGGTTACCTGGCATGCGGGGACTAGCTGAACATAATGGCTTACGCCTGTCAAGCAGCAGGGGCTGCGCCTTCACCAAGCCATCCCCAATGTTTGGTATTGTGTTCACGCCCTTCCATTTTGCATTGAATGTTTTTTGTCCATCTATCAGTGAGGAAGCAGGAATATGAGTTTGTGCGGCCGTGGGTGTATATGACGCACTAGAATGCAGGTTGAACAGTTTGAGGAGGAGTGCCGACAAGAGTCCTTCTTCCAGCCACTCAGCGAAAACAGATCCGCGCAGGGCCTCGCTTCTACTTCATCTGCATGGCTTCAGCAAATTCGCATTTGCAACGGTCAAGCCGAAGCTAAGGCTTGCTGCACAAACCGCCGCGACAATCAAGTAAGGGTGCTTTGCATGCACTGCCCTTTTTGAAGTCAAGACCCTCGGCTCATGTAGAATTTTCAAACACAGCCCGATCTTGCTGTGTTGCTTCACAATTCTCCACATTTTTCAGCTGACTAGTTCTTTCCTGCATGTTTGTAGATACTGTGTCATCGAGAACAACTATCGATGGCTTAATTCAAGTTTCCAGCTGCTGCCCGCGACTTCCGCGGCTTGTCGTCGCTAAGGCCTCTCATGAGGCCAATCATGGATTATAACATGTTCGTTTGCATTTTCCTTTCCATGATCCCTATAAAGTCTATAGAACCCTATACAAAAAATGTATCCCCTTATTTCGCCCTGTTTGCCGACTCACATGTTACACTGGTGAGACAGACGGCATGCATGTTTGTCACAGCAGCTCTGAAGATGCAACTTGCACTTGGCGGCCTGGTGGCTTTCGCACCGTGCGCTTCTTGCGAAGCAGGTGCGTCACGGACACTCTCAGACCTCAACACTGGGACAGTAATTACTCATAATCATAGCTTATGCTGATCACTTTGTCATGTGCCCCTTCAGCAAGTATGGCCACTAGAGAGGCGCCCGGTCCACACAGACGCTTCGGCCTAGTCTTCATTCCAAGGCTAGGTTCGAACCAGACACCGCAACAGAGACAAAAAGACTCGGAGGATCCAAGTTGCATACGGGTACACCTAGTTCAGCCGCACGAGGCAGCCTTAAGACCTGGCTTCTAAGCACGCAGGACTTTTGCAGTTGGGTCGGAGAGCTCAATGCTCAGCGCGGCCCTTTGCTGCAGGGATTGCTTTCTGCAGTAGTCAAGGAACAAGTACGATGCTCTGACCTTGATTTGGTCATCAGCTATGGCTGGCTGGGCTGGCCAGCATTTGCGCTCACAAAATGTCGCACAGTTGCTCAGGATCTGCGCAAGCGATGGGCTGCAAGCTTCTGTTCAGTAGCAGCCTCAGTTTTGAGGTGCTGCCTGTAACTAGCCTCGGCCTTATCTTCTGAACATGTTGAACTGACATGCAGAAGCCAACAATTGCGGAGGTGGGGAGCTTGGGACAAAAGGCTGCCGCTGTACTTCTGGGGCAGCTTCTCGGCTGCAGCAAGCATGGACTCAGCCGGCAGCTAGCGTTGCAGATGTTTAGTGCTTCGTGTTTGTGTTTGTTTGTACACAATCATGGGTTGCTTGTCTAGCTGGATGATAGTTTGCTAAGGTGCCTACACCAAGTTCTTGACGGGTGAGGCACTCGATCTGCAAAGGAAGGTCTCAGCTTGACATATCATGGGTAATTAGCTTGGTGACTGCTTATGCAGGCTCCTCTAGGCATGCACTTGATGCCACGAACAGCTTGTAGCTGAGCAGCCATGACCTGTTCTTCATGTTCGCGGTGAGGGTGAGGAGAATGGGTGCCGAAGGGTGTGTACGCAGTTCTGTCGACACATCCTCAGCTGAGCTTGCCAGGCACAGCGTGCTGCCCGAATCTTCCATGCAATTGCATCAGATCTCGCACGGCGTGTGGGCGGGCAGGCCTGTATACGGATATGCGGGGAAAAGAACTTCAAGTTTAAGAATGCCAGGGCCACAAAAACTGAGGCATCACAGATGTTCCTAGTGACGGGTGTGAGCCATCTTGGCCGCAGATTTAAACAGCTGTCCCCCCATCACGATGCAGGTGGAATACCGGGACGCGCCCAACAAGCAGCCAGCGCGCGTCGTCAAGAAGCAGCCGCTGAGTTTGCAAGATGGGTAGGCCGAGACTTGACATGCCAGCCTGATCAGGCCACGTAGACAGAGAGTTCTGATGCGAGAGAGAACTGTTAAGCATCATCAAGATTTCCTCCTCCTCAGGTTTGACTATGCTTCACCTGGCCTGACACTTCTCCACGAGGCAAGCATGTGCGCAGCGCGGCAAAGCTGATCGCAAAGTATAATGCCCTGATAAGAAACTGCCTCGAAAGAGATGGCAGCGTTGCAGCCGTGCAGACGGAAGCTACATAATTGTAGCTTGTATTGGAGTCTTGCCGCGACCGTGCCACAGCAGGATCATACCATCTCGGGCTCCGTCTAGCTCTCTTGCACAGGCGCTTGACCTCATGAAGGGCAAGTTCAGGCACCGCAATGCTGCATGCATGTGGTGCTTCAAAGCCATGTGTGCGGAAGCCTCGAAGCCGCATTAAGAAGACTTGCACGCTCAGCTTCTCCTTTCGCAGCTTCCGCTGGCTTAAGAAAAGGCGCGGAATAGCTGGCAGAGCGTTGGTAGCTTTTAAGATTTAAATCCATGCCTCGTCGCTGGTCCTTGGAGCTGCGGCGTGCACACGGCTTTCGGACATTGGCTGTGAGCTTCCTCACAACCAGTGCATTCCTTCATGAGCTTTTCGCGCATGATCGAGGAGTGCAAAGCTTCCTGGGAGAGATAGGGGCCCCCGACCTTTCAGGAAAGAAACGGCAAGCCGCAGCACAGCGCCTGGCTGAGGCACGGATTGCCCTAGAGGAAGCGCAGTCCCTTCAAGCGGAAGGTGTCTCCTCGGGCCTTTGGTACCAGGTGATCACGGAAGGAGAGGATGGCATTGGCATCCGCAAAGAACCTGACCTCACGGCAGAGCGTGTGGAAGATTTAGTGAAAGGAAGCGTCTTCGAGGTTGACGATGTTGTTCAGAATGAGGGCGAGCCCATTTTTCTCCGCTTGAAAGACGGCCGAGGTTGGGTGTTCGACCTTACCCCCGTTGACCCCGAAACTCCTACGGTCAAGAGGCTGGAAGGAGTGTATGCAAATGGAAAGACCCTGCCAGAGCTTGAAGATGAGGTTCGGCAGGCACGTCTGGAGTTGGATAGGATTCGCGGAGCCCGACGAGTTTCCTAGACAAGCATCTTTTTATTCTTTCTAGCAAAGCGATTGAAGAAAAACATGTTCACGCTTCTTTCTGTAGCCTCGCATGTTGAAGCCAGTCGAAAACGCTTACATCCTGAATGTTCTGGCAGGCGAGCCTATCGGGCAGACCGGCCTGGAGCAGATGCCTTTGAGGCTCGGTAAATCAGTGTGCGCTGCGCATTGTTGGTAGAAATTTGCTCTCCTTGTGTGTGCTAGGATGTCAGTGACCCAGAACCTCCAGATGGAGGCTCGGCAGTCGGAGTTCATGGATCTCGTTTTGTAATTAGCCCCAAGCACTCTTGGCAAGCCTTATCCTGCATTTTGCAGCGCGTCCAGGCGTTGATTTGGTGCTTGGGCGCTTGGGACCTGCTTTGCAGCAGGCCTTGGAGGCACGCAAGGCAGTTTGTGCCATCAATTTATGTTGTCAAAAATGCTGAGCGGCAGTCCTGTATCCCGTGTGAGTGATGCCTTAACATGCATGTCGTGGTGCTTGGAACGTGTGCATTTCCTGCAGCAAGGCCGTGGCCACGATCTCTACTCCCACACCCGGCCGACAAGGTGTTCTGGCCGTGCTACTCCCCGAGCAGGGATCTCAGACAGGATCATCGACAGGCTGGCTTGTTGTCCTCGGGGGGGCAAGTTTCAGGCAAGTTGTTACCAGTCTCAGGCTCGAAGGGCCACCTGTGCTGGCAGAGCCAGGCGAAGGCCATCTGCAAAGCGGTCATTTCTGAAACCTGGACCCTATGCTCATCTGCGTTCACCCCAAATTTAGAGGAAGCCTCATCGTGCCTCCTGCTTTAATGTGTGGGGTTTTGCTGGCCTTGTTGATACCTTCAGGCGAGGAGCCCTGGCCTGCCTGGGAAGATTCCAGCATCGAAGAGCTCATGCGAACTGCAGGCAGGGAGGCCTTGAATCACGTCCAAGTGACATTTGGATAGATCTGCATAAGCCCGCAACTACAATAACGGGTGCGCTTGGGGTTCTTCGGACTTGGAACAATAGGTACCCAGACTATCCCAGACTGAGGTGCAGATGCGGTGGTAGTTCTCGAGGGAAACCTTGATGGTTCAGCGCATGCAAGAAGGTGGGGTACTCAGACGACTCACCCAAAGCGGTAGCGCAGAGCTTGCTGCGGGAACGGCATGGACAGTCTAGGATCAAGCAACACCCTCTGCGAGGCTGCCAAGGAAATCCTAAACAGATCACTTACAAACCGGCTGCAAAATGCTCGACTCGGTCATCTGGCTGTAGAGATAACCATGATGACTAGGGCATGGTGCTTGGTTGATGTTCCAGTTGTGCCGGCAGTCCACCCAGTCCGTGCCACAAAAAATTCAGCTCCCGTACAGACGCAAGTGCCGAGGCTACTGCTGCAAGGCCTCCGGCAAATCAGGACCGGCCCGCTGCCATTTGCAGTCATTTGATTGTTGGCTGGGTTGTTTGAATTGGCGGGCTGCTTCTGCAGACTGCTCGACAGAGTGCATGGGGCATATCAAAAGTCAACAGCCAATTATGACCCCCCATCCCCCAGGGGGGGTTTTTAATGACATGTGGTGTTTTTGTTTGCTTCACTTGAGAGATTTTGTGGTGAGATCTAACTGCTCACTAGATGCCAGGGCTGC